TGTCACCGCGGGGGCCTTTGTGCCTGTCCCCGCCCAGCCTCCCTCTCCTTCCTTCGCTCGCTCGTGAAGAAGTAGCCCTTGCCTTGGGCAAGGCTGACTCTCTCATATCTGCTGTGGTCCCTCCTCTCATCACCTGGATTCTCCCTTATTCGTCTGTGCCTCTTTTGTGTTTCCATTTGTCCCTTCTCTATTGCCCTCTCTGTTTCCAGCTTATAAGCAATTAAACATCACGAAGACTCTATTGTTTAAAAAACAAAAATGCCTTCCTATAACCCCAAATCATCCTGCAGCTGTGCCCCTCTCCCCCTACTTTGTTTTTTAGTGAAGTTCCTTGACGGTCACTCGCTGCCCACCTCTGCCATTCTCCCGAAGCTGTTAGGGACAGAAGCCGTCCATGTTCTTATAATCAGCCAGTGCTGCTTAATGCAGGCTTGTCTTCATGCCCTGGTCAGGAGATCAGTGATTAGAGTCAGCATGATGGCAGTGAGAAGGAAAGACTCCCCCCACCCCCCCGCCGCCACCCCATACCTAAGTCTCTCATGCCCACCGTGTTCTTTCCATACTCCCTTGATTGGACTATTTATGGTAGCTTTCCAGGTGGTCTCCATGCCTGTGTTTGGCTTCTCTTTGATCAATGTCAGAGTCAGACACTAACATCAAATGGAAGGGCATGGAGATGGGGCTAGCCCGCCTCTTTGGTTAGGGAGGCACCCTCTGTCTACCTCATTCTGCTCTTTCCCTGATGACCACTCATATTTTAATTGCCTCATTTAGGTTGCTTCTTTAATGCCTTTTCACCAGAGTCATCTTGGAGAACATGCTGGAAGAAAGTTGCCCTTTCCCTCCACCACATAAAGGAATACAACACACACACACACATGCACATCCTCCCCCCCCCTCCCCGCCCCGTCCCTCTCTCTCTGTTTCTTTCTCTTCAGCCTCAGATTCAGTCTTCATGCTATTGAAGTGCTTAATCTTCTTCTCTGCCCCAGGGTCACGTCCAAACCCTTGGAGCATGTCTTATAGCACTCTGCCTGACTCTTCCTCCCCTTTACCACATCTCCTTTTATGTTTTGATTTGCGAAGACTCCCCAAATGCTGATGCACTGTCTTACCTTCAGATCCTCTCCAGATTGAGGTGGGAAGACCACTTACTTCTTCACACCTCCTCCAACTCCCATCCTGGTTGATTTTTATCACATTATTGTGTGTTTGTTTTCAGCAAGGCTGAAAGCACTTAGCAGGTTGGACCTTGTGTGTCTTGGTTTCCCGATTCCCAGCATGGTGCCTGGCAAGAAGAAAGTGCTCAATAAATATGGTGGCCTGAGGTATGGTGGTCAGAGATAGAAGTGTGTGAGGAAGGAAGGAACTGTAAAATAAGATTAATCCCTAACAGTATGCCAGCCATTAGGTTAAATACTTGACAGCCATCTCTCTTAGTTTTTGACAAAACTCAGTGAGATGAAGTTACTATTACTATCATGGAGGAAAGAGATGGAGGAAGAGATGGATAGTTTAATTAACTTATCTGTTATATCAAAGAATTTGGACTTAAGCTTGTAGACTCCAAAGAAAACAGCCAAATAGAAGATTTAAAGACACATTGTAAGATTTTCTTTGCTTTAAAAAAGAAACACAAACCTCCTTCCTCTTACACTGAGGAATTTTTTCCCCCTATTATTAAACCCTTCTGGACCCAACGTCTTTATCCCATCTTGTTAGTCTGTTTACTTTCTCTGTGTCCGTACAACAGGACCATTTCTATCACTTGGAGCAAATCAGGTGGTAAATTTGGGGGCCCTGGCAGGCAGCCCTATGCTCTATCCCTTGGTTGTAAAGGGGTGAGGGTTGCTTACATTTATTGTTACATACTGTGCTAAACTCTCTGCATGCATTTCTCATTTTAATCCTCACAACAACCGGGTGCTATTAATGTCTCCATTTTTCAGAAAAGGACACTGAAGGTCTGGGGTCCTAGATCACTCAGCTAGTAAGTAGCCTTGTCTCCCCAGCCCTGAGTTCTATGTTCTTATCCTCACAGGCACTGCCTCCCACTTTCAGGGGCCTCCTTCTTTGAAGCCTTCGTCTTTCTAGGAATTTGCTAACTTCTGCCTACTTCTTTTGACCCCAGATGACCTCCTAGCTGATAGTTAACTCCTAGAGACAACCGTATACTTCATAGCATTAACTTGGCTGTCTGAGTTCTAGATGTGCACCTTTGATTTTGCTCCCAGGTGATACCATCATTTAATATCTAAAACACACTCAAACCATGTTCAGGCTTTGATCTACAAAAACAGCACAAACAGCTGTTTTGTACAGAATGGTCCTGTTGTTCTAATGTAACCCACCCAAACCTCCCCTTCGTGTTTTCTAGCACACAGAAGAGTTACAAAGGGCATAGGAAGGACAGTGGGATCCAGAAGGCTAATGAGAATATGGCTAAAAGTTTTTATCTGTCACACCTAGGATGTAAAAGCTATTTAATCACCTAGAAGTTTTGATAGTATTCTTTCTGAAAATGTTTATGGTTATGAACAAAGTAAATAAAACTTTCTCCCTAATAACATTGCTAGAATATAGTACCTAACATCCTAAAATAGCCTCATAGAAATTTTTCTGTGATGTCTTTAAAAAAGCCAAAGATTTCCTACTTTCTCATAGTAATGTCATTCTGAATAACCAAGAGTTTTCTCGTGTGCCCATGTTATATAGATAAGTGTCTCAGGGAGAACTTCATGTGGGTTCAAGGTGAGCCCTTTCATATCAAGTGCTACTCTTGAGTGAGGGTGAATTCTAAATTGGAAAACATGAAAATGGTAGTAAAGTTAGAACAGTATAATTTTTAAAAATTTAGTCATCACGGGGCACCTGGGTGGCTCAGTCGTTAATCGTCTGCCTTCGGCTCAGCTCATGATCCCAGGGTCCTGGGATCGAGCCCCACATCAGGCTCCCTGCTTTGCGGGAAGCCTGCTTCTCCCTCTCCCACTCCCCCTGCTTGTGTTCCCTCTCTCACTATCTCTCTCTCTCTCTCTGTCAAATAAATAAATAAAATCTTTAAAAAATAAAAAATTTAGTCATCAGAGTATTGTTTAAAAGGGAGAAACAAACTAGATTCTCTCTTCCTGTAAAATGAAGCCCAGGTGCTTAGCTGTGTTGCTGGGTAAGCAGGAGTCCTGATAAATAACACTTCTATAAGAATGGGGTCCGAGGGCGCCTGGGTGGCTCAGATGGTTAAGCGTCTGCCTTCGGCTCAGATCATGATCCCAGGGTCCTGGGATCGAGTCCCACATCAGGCTCCCTGCTCCTTGGGAGCCTGCTTCTCCTTCTGCTTCTCTCTCTCTCTCTCTCTCTCTCTCTCTCCCTCTGTCTCTCATGAATGGATAAATAAAATCTTTTAAAAAAAAAAAAAGAAGAACGGGGTCGGAGGTTTAACCACTTCAGGTTACAGCCCTTAACTATCTCTGTAGGCCACGTGGTCATTGCGTTATAAATATGGGCACTGCCTACAGCATATGTTGCCTACCTTTCTAGAAGCACACAGACTCCAGGATGAGTGGGTGACTCTTTCCTAAAGTAGGTGATTCTGAGTATTTGATGATAGAAAGGAGTACCTCTAAGCTCCCAAAAGGAAGATCATTCTTACTTACTTACCTTCCTCTCCTGGGGAAGGTCCCTGTTTTGCCTGGGGGTGGAAGAGGGAGTTGTCACAATACAATTCTAGGAATGTTAGGAGCTGTGCTTTGGTTCATTTGCTGGTGTAAACTCACTGAAGTCTCTGTGGAGGGCAAAGGATCAGATAAGAAAGGGGTCATTCTTCATAGACTGAGAAATGTGAAACCTTAGGAATTCTTGTTGATGAATTTTATTCCCTTCTAGTCTGAGTAACCTTTCTTTCTTCCTAGCAAGAGACACATGGAATGAATTGTTGATGGTATGAACAATATTTGAGATAAATGCAACTGTCAGGTGGTTTCCTAGGAGTCCTGTAAGGGCACATGAGGACTGCGAACAGCAGAGTCTGTATTTTAATTCAGTGGAATGTATTCAGACTCCTATGGGGGCTCTAACACGGCAGTAGCCAAGGGCTCAAGGCTGCATTATTAGTAATAGTTTTATGTGTGTGTGTGTGTGTGTGTGTGTGTGTGTGTGTGTGTGTACATTCTTGAGTAACTGAGCCATTTCTCCAAAATGTCTGTTTCGTACAAATACTAAGCCCAAGTCAAAAATGTTCACAAAATTATTAGCAAACTCTAATGGAGATTTGGCTTCTCCAGGCATTTGGAACACAATTTCTAAACACCGTTGAGAAAAATGACCTTGGATGTATGGTGCATCAATGAACAGTGACCTTTTTAGGTTAATTAAGAAGGCTGGAGCCCCAGAGGATTTTTGAGCAACTTTTTTTGTTGCCCAAAGGAACTGCAGAATAGAATTGTGGTGTGAATGTGTAGAAAGGGGGTGATTTTCAAGGTTGTGAATAATGACCAGAAGAAAATGCTTTTATATGATTGCAAAAGGGAGATGCTAAATAAACTTTGGACCCTTAGACCTCTTAGCTTTTCTATAAATTGGCTTTTGTGTATCCACATTAAGCCTTTTATTTGTTCCTATTTAATTTATGAGTGAGCAGTGAAAATAAAGAGGAAAATGGGTCAGTTCTATAAGAATGCATGCAATGGAGGGGTGCCTGGGTGGCTCAGTCATTAAGCGTCTTCCTTCGGCTCAGGTCATGGTCCCAGGGTCCTGGGATCGAGCCTCGCTTGGGCTCCCTGCTCGGTGGGAAGCCTGCTTCTCCCTCTCCCACTCCCCCTGCTTGTGTTCCTTCTCTCGCTCTGTCTCTCTCTGTCAAATAAATAAAATCTTAAAAAAAAAAAAAAGAATGTATGCACTGGAAGCATTAACTCTTTCAATTTTTTTGTATAAAAATGTTGGCTCACTGTATGCCAAGCAGTTTTTAATCATGTCAGGCAGCTAACGACGAGTTTCTTTGTTTCCAGCTGACTCGGGTGTAGACACTGTGGCAGGGTTTATGGCCAGCAGCGGAGCCACAGACATCACAAATCGAAACAGCCCGGCCACACCACCAAATACCCTTCATCTCCGTTCCTCCCACAATGAACTGTTGAATGCAGAGATAAAACACACCGAAACCAAGAACAGCACGCCCCCCAAATGCAGGAAAAAATATGCACTAACTAACATCCAGGTGGCGATGGGCCTCTCCGATCCAGCTGCACAGCCCCTGCTGGGAAACGGCTCTGCCAACATCAAGCTGGTGAAAAATGGGGAGAACCAGCTCCGGAAAGCTGCAGAACAAGGACAGCAGGACCCCAACAAAAACGTCAGCCCCACAGCGGTCATCAACATAACTTCTGAGAAGTTAGAGGGCAAAGAACCCCACCCACATGATTCCTCAGGCTGTGAAATTTTACCCTCCCAACCCCGGAGAACCAAGAGCTTCCTCAATTACTATGCAGACCTGGAAACCTCAGCCAGAGACCTAGAGCAAAACTCGGGCAACCAGCACGGGGCTGTGGAAGAGAAGTCCCAGCCGGGCCAGGGCCCGGCCTCCACCATCATTGGGAATGGTGAGGTGCTGCCGCAGAAACCAAACAAAGCCCAGTTCAGCCCTGAAGATGGTCAAGTGGCCACAGTGTCATCCAGCCCAGAGACCAAGAAGGATCATCCTAAAACGGGGGCCAAAACCGATTGCGCGCTACACCGGATCCAGAACCTGGCACCGAGCGATGAGGAGTCCAGCTGGACAACACTGTCCCAAGACAGCGCCTCACCCAGTTCCCCAGATGAAACAGGTACCCCCCGGGAAAGGGTGTAGACTCAAGCGGCACTTCCTCTGGGTGTGTTCAGTTATTGACAGAATTAATCTCTAGCCCGACCAAAAAAAGTCCATTTGCGGGCAGAGATGAACGTTAAGCCTCTTGGGGTAAAATTAGGCAGTTTGTGTGGAAAATAGATTTCTCAGTGGTTTCATTTTGGTTCTTACATCAGTTGCTTGTCCTGGTGAGCATTTTTGTCAAACAAATGGGTCCTTGGTGTTAAGTATAGTAAAATATTGTCTGTGTAGAAATTACAGTGCCAGTGCTTAGGTGAATTGTTTCAATATACTATCTAGAAATACTGGCTTTTGTTAAGCAAAATAAGAAAAGAAATACAGTTGCAGGGGTCAGCATATAGGTTGATTAAAAGAACCAACTATTTTAAATTTCTCGGAACGGATTTATGCTCAAACTAATGAAAAGTTAGAAGTTTACAAAGTTTAAAAGTCTACTTATTATAGACATTTCCCTTTGACCTTTACTGGGGAACATTTTATTAGCCTTGTTCATGTGATACTTGAAAGTAAGAAAATGGTGGGGTTTTTTTTTTCTTTTAATATATTCAGAGGTTCAGGATTTTAAGTAGTCTAATTGAGACAGTCTTTCTTGACTTCGTTTATATCTGTATCATCTTTGGATTTGTCAGAGGAATCACAGTTTGGACAAAAATGAACAGGGCTCTAAAAGCCAGCTGCTTTGAATTGCATCTTCTCATAGCTCCCCCAGTATACTGATGATAAGATTAAAACACGCGGAGCACTTGGTTGTATCTAAATTCAGTGTAAACAAGCACTCACAAAGGCTTATTTCTCTAACGTAACCCAGTAACCCAGCTACTACCAGAGTGGGTTCCAAGACCCTGTTAATGTGCTGTAAATATAACAGCACCACCATGGAAGGAAATAACATTTCTGCAACCTAGAAGGCAGAGAAATTACAAGGACTCTAGATAAGGAAAAGAGAAGGAGAAAGTGAAGACATTGACTTGCTTAAAAAAAACCAGTGTTTTTGAAGTGCCCTTTAAAATCGCGGTACTTTAGCTGATGGATTTCATCAGCCCGCTGTAGCTGGAGATGGCAGTAGGGAGGTTGAGATGAGTCCATTTCATCTCATAAATGTCTAGACCTGCACATTACTGGAAGCATAATTATGTTTAATGATGTTACTGAGTTCACAGCTATTACCTTTTACCCATTGAGAGGATTCATATCCTATAGCTGATGGACGCTGTCACCTGCTAGTATTGGAATCTACATCAAGGACTCCTTGAGTTTCTCCCAGCCAAACTCCACTTGCTGTTTTCAGCAGAGCCACCAAGACCTCATTGTCTTCCTCCGGTCCTGACAGTCTTCCCACTGCTCTCCCAGGCACGGTGCTTTCTGTTGGAGGCAAATTTTAAATATTACGGCGTGGTATTAAATGAACAGTAAAGTCTCCCCTGTTCCTCACTCTAGCCCCTTTCCCCAGTGATGGCCTCTGTTGTCTTCTTCTTCTTTTTTTTTAAATATTTCCTTTCAGAAAACATTTTAGGCATGTTACCCAAATTTTATGATAATGATATTTTTAAAGAGTCCTTATCTTTTAGAGATATATACTAATATACAATAGTATAATAGATATAATATAATAAAATGTATACTAATATAAATAATATTGTGTATGGGATTTTCTCCAAAATAATTGAGGTGGAGATTAAAACAAAAACAAAAACAAAAAAACAAACAAAAAAACTGCCCCTAAGCTGATAATTGTTAAATATGGGTACATAAGGGTTTATTATTCTGTTCTCTCTAATTTTGTATCTTTAATATTCTCCACAATGAAAAGGTAAAACAAGAAAAAAATTACATGAGATAGTTTTACGAATGGTTTGCTTTTTCCTCTTACGTATGTATTTTGTAGAGCAGCGCATATGAGGACGCACTGTTTTTCTACCTCAGGTTTTTTAAGTATCAGGCATGCTTTTCCACCCTCTGTACTTAATTCAGCCTGCTGCAAGTTCTCAAAATATTCAAGCTCCATGGTTTGTTTAATGATTCCCTCACCGCTAAGTGTTTGTATCATTTCTGTCCACAGCCCCTTCTCCTGTTGAGTGTGGGTGTCAGTAAGGGCCTGTGGGGAGCTCGGAATGCAGGCTGAACACATGTACTCTGCTCGCTCTGACTCTCTCCGGGACACCTTCCTGGCCTCCCCTTTGCTCACTGCTCCTTCGCTCAGTGTCCTGGCATCACTTTCTGTTGTGTTTCTCTGGTGCTTGGCACATGATGTGAACTGAGTTAGAGCTTTCTTAACACAAGGAGAGAGGATACGTTCATTCTCCTCTCTTAAAGCCAGTTTTGAAGACCTTCACTTTTTAAAGGAAGATTGACAATATGGTGATGTCCCTTAATGGGTGGCTAAGGATAGACATTTTGAGTCAAATATGCTCAAAAGAGTGTGTTAGCTGTGACTCTAAAGCAGCGAGATTGAGTTTTTTTTTAAACACATGCTTAAGAACCAAATCTGTACTATTTTTTTTAAAGATTTTATTTATTTATTCATGAGAGTCAGAGAGAGAAGCAGAGGGAGAAGCAGGCTCCCCGCTGAGCAGGGAGCCTGATGCGGGACTCGATCCCAGGACTCTGGGATCATGACCTGAGTCGAAGGCAGACACTTAACCATCTGAGCCACAAGATTTATTTATTTGAGAGAGAGAGAGAAAGCACAAGGGTGAAGGGGAGAGGAAGAGGGAGAGACAGAATACCAAGCAGACTCCCCACCGAGCACAGAACCTGTCATGGGGCTCAATCCCATGACCCCAAGACCGTGACCTGAACTGAAATCAAGAGTCGGCCACTTAACCGACTGAGCCATCCAGGCGCCCCCAGACCTGTGCTGTTGTTCAACGTATGGTCACTTTGGGATCTCTATACTTATTTCAGCATGCTGCAAGGTCTCAAAATATTAATATCAATAGTTTTGGGAAATTCTTTCGGAATTTCCTCATAGCCAGTTGTGAAGTCCTACTGGAATGAAACCTCTTTACTTCAGGATCACACTTCCGAGTTTCAGGTAGTGACCACCACATGAATTAGTGAGTAAAATAAAATCATCGAATTTTCAGCATTTGTATTTCTTTTGGTTTCTGTCTGTCCATTGAAACATACCATTAGTGTTTACAGTGATCACGAGCAGTTTAAATGAAACATTGTATGTTTCACTTACAATGGTAAAAGCAGTGTTTATTATACATTTCATATAGTATATACATGTTTATGTATATAATAAACACAAATGCTAACTGTTGAAAGAAAAGAAGAAATAAGAGCAAATTTTTGTAAGATGCTGGTATGCATCGCCATTACACATGGTATATGCATACTAGTCTGTATTGCCGAGTGTATATATTTGCTTATCTGCTGTGTGTTAAGTAAATACCCATCACAGTGGTGTGTGTTTTATGACTAAATCATGACACAGTTATCTTTGGATTGCAGACTGTGCTTTGGGGAGCCGAGAAAAATAGAACAGACTCATTTCTACCTTTGGGGCATCCTTTCCAAGTTAGACTGCTATTTATAAAATAAAATGCACTGCCTAACCCAGAGATTGACTTCTTTCTCTTTCTCTTTCTTTCTGAATTGCCCCCTCCAGCATTTTGGTAACTTTTTTTTTGCAGGATCAATCAATGTATACAATATGTTGCTCCTCTTTTTCCTCCTGTGTAGTCTGTTCTCAGAGAAAACAAGAGACAATTAGGAAAAAGAAAAGCACCTGTGAAATCACTGAGTTTCATAGGAGTTTATCAAAGTTCAAAGAAATGCCTTGACCCTGATTCTAAAAGAAAGGGTTGCATCCCATTTTGGTATTTGAAGGTGAGAACTTGTGATCTGTTAGCATTTTGCCAGAAATACGGTTCCCTCCATGGTCCCAGGTAAACACGGTGACTCAGATAAGTGTAGGTTGGTTAGACTGTGTGTTGTCTCTCTGTTAGTCACCTGCTGGTTTATGTTTGTTTCATGAAAACTTTTGAAAGATACATGCTGATGCTTCCTGGGTACAGGTTTCAGTGCCTTGTTGGTACCAACATGTAACTTAGGTTTAATTTGGGGCTTACTAAACTCAAAGATACAGAGTATGAACCTGGGTGGATCTTGTGGACTAGCCATGCCGACATTAGGTTCATTACTAATGTGGACAAAGGCAAGATATACACAGAGAAAACAAAATCTAGATGGTGTGACTTTGGGCCTTATGCATCATTAACTTATCATTAAGAACATGGGCTCTAGACTCAACTTCCTGAGTTTGAATCTCAACTTGGTTAGAGGCAGGCAGTTCACATAGCCTATCATGTGTAAAGTGGGCATGATAATAGGGTCTGGCATAGATCAATTGTGAGGATTCAGTGAGAGCATCTTCAAAGGGCTCTTAGAACAATGGCTGGCATATAGCAAGAGTTTAATAAATATTAGTGCTTATTTTTATTAGTGATCACCATTATCACTGCAGCAGTGGGATGGAAAAATTTGCTACTTCCTTAATTATGAGTTGCCTATATTTTGGACTCTGATTTTAGTTAGGACTTTCTGCACCTTAAAGGGCAGGGTTTGGTCTGTCTTCATCTTTGTATTTGTATTGTCAATGCCTGAAATACAGCAGGTGAACTTAGTAAATAAATAATGATTAAATAAAACTGGAGGCCATCTACATATCCCCAAATGGCCCTGATGTAGTCAGTACATCATTTGATTTTACAGCTCAGTCAGCGTCTGATTTTGATGTTGGGTACATATTTTAATAACATAATTGACAAAGTCGCCTCGGAATAGGTGAGACTGAAAAAACAGTTACAGGAAAGGCACAGTGAAATTCTGTGGACCTACTATGTGTCCATAGAATCTTGTTCATGCTATTTTCTCGTACTCGGGTGGCCATAGTGGGACTTGAACCATTGTGTTCATACACAGCATCCAGTGTTTTTCCACTGTACCATA